AAAGGCACAGGTTCCTTTTTAAAGAGAGTAGAAGTGGTGTGTGGTTGTTGGGCTGTAGTTTTGACACTCTCGGTTCGTTTTGCAAGTTAATTTCAGGTTGAAACATTATTCAAAATTACTAAATGTATTTCATTTACTCACAAAATGAACAAAAAGTATCAAATGCATTACAATATAACAGCCGTATAATACCACGCGAGATAAAACAACCTTACTTTCGAATAACAAGGCTGTCATGTGTGTTTAGGTGCTAAGATGTTGGTCTATTTGAAAAGACTGCCAGTAGGACAGTGTTTATCCTTTAGGAATAAAATTTTACATGGCGAACCTAGTAGTCATGGGGTGCTAACAAGTTAGGAGTGACTTCAATATCTGTTGACTGTCAAAAAGTATCCCAACTCACCCGACTCTCCTGAAAAAAGAAGCTTGATATTAGTGAAACCAATTGTGAAAACAATTGCATGTTAATTAGTAACCTGCTAATTACTCCCCAACACTAAGAAGAGGATTCTGAGTAATAATTCAAGTTTTTCGTTAAATTAACAGCACCAACTAAATTGTCTTGTCCTCTCTGGTAGGCGATTTGTCCAACGACGTGGATATCCAGAAGGACTTCTGACTTTTGATGGGCTACAACCTACCTCCATGTATTTCCAGTGATCTATTCTAAACTCCAATTTAGCTGTTCGAGAGTGTAATATCATTCCGCTATGAAACAATTGTGGTGCTCACCTTATAGTAATAGTATAGTATAATTACTCGGGTATAAGTTTACTTCTAATAGGATCTAAAATATTGGTTCTTGTTGTAATCCTCAGATATTGAAGAACTTGTAAAAGATTGACTCGTGAGTAGTAGGTTGGTTGCTATTCAAGAAGACTGTATGGGTAATGTCTTCACTATGCACGAAATACTTGAATACCGCCACATTTATTGTGGATTGACGGTTATTTTGCTTCTTGACATCAGCATTACTTTCGATTCACTGGACAAAAATGCGCTATGGGATTGTATGTTAAAAAAGCCTATGAATGAGGAATCTGTTAGCATTTTGAGGGTTGTATACGAAAAAATCTCAGGTAGATTGAGGATATACGTCCACTGCTTTCTGTTATTGCAATCTAGTTATGGCGTCAGACTGGACTAACTAATTTCACTATCCCTCTACAGTTTTGTTATCGAAAATACACTGGAGTAAGCTCTGGAAGAATTACACAGTGAGAAAGACTTTTCGACCTTTTCTGAGGATGAAATCGTTGTATTGTGCGATAATATGAGGACTATCCAAATCGTACTTACTCGGTTACTGTCAGTAAGTAAATCATTTACCTAGCACCATTGAAACCAGAAAGTGATTCTGCAAGACGGATAGACGTCTGTATCTATACTCATTCTTTGTGATGACCTGTTGTAAACAATCGAGAATTCGGTGTGTCTGGATATCTATGTGAATAAAGATGATCGAGTAACATGTAGGATTATTCTACGTTTAGTGAAAGCCAGATTTGATAACATCACTTTGGGTCACTTTTTTCCCGTAACAACATTAGTCTGTATCTAAAAGTTCTGATGTACGAAGTGTCACTTCTATACTTATTGCTTGTGAAATTTGGCTCCTCCATGACAAAGATGTTTTGCAACTTTCTGTATTTAATTGTTATTGTATCAAACAGATTTCTCATACTCTGTGACAACGGCGTATATTTAGTGTGTAGTCTTGTGTCCAAACAAATATGATTACCACATCACTATTTACTCAAATACTGAAGGAATACTATTAAGTGAGTGTGGTTATAAAAAGTCTGTATACTTTCAACGAATACTCGAAATCATTTAAAAAGAGATTGCATAATCAATAGCATATTTTCGACCTCTGTCAAAGAGTGTAACCTTTCGTTAGGATAGTAACATGTATCGTGTTATAGTGATTCTAAAATAATGAATGATGTATCTGTTGATAGTAGCTGTGTTTATCCATGTTTGCAATGATTTTCCTACAAACTTAAAACATAAAATGTGTATGTTCGCCGCGTAGTACACTTTTAAATGAGATTTTAGTGTATAAAGTAGTCTCATTACATAGCCACCATATTTTACAATCAAATAAAGTTCGTCTAAACGCTTATATTTCAGTCGAAAAATTTAAATGGAAAACGACCAACATCCTTGAGTATTTAAGTGTTAATTTAAAAAAAAATGTGTTTAGACAACAGTTGTTGAAGTAATTTCTGATATGTTGCGTACGTTTGAAAGTTATGTATCTAATCTATGCTAAATGTTATTTCGAGTTTCAATAAATTTCACTTGTCAATACAATTAAATTTTATGCCCATATTTGGTCGATTACGCAAAGAACTAGCAGAATATATTTGAATGACACTCATAATGACAAATAAAGGGCACTGTCTTTATACGTGATGTAATAATATACGGGAAACAGTGTAAAACACTACACACACTTAAGTATGTTTTATATCCTATGAAGTACGCTTAATGTGTGATTATCAGTTCAGACACAATATTCATCAGCAGTATGGGTTTGAAGTAGTTTTACTTACACGTTAAATCATGTACAATGCATGTTTACGTGATAGTTTTTTATCGATTGTAAGCAAATTGAGAATTAAATACGAGTACGTTATATCTGCCTTTTAATAAAGTTCAAGCTGCATATTATTACATTTGAAGTTCCTCTGGTTGGTTTGTCTCTAGAGTGTAGTTTCCCCTTGACCTATGGCTGTGGAGGATTAACATTTAAGGAAGATATCACTTAATACATGCCTTTTTTAAGCAGCCTGAAACTACAATGAAAAAGTGCTAAAATAATTCCTTCGACTCGTTAAAAAACAGAGTAAATTGTCCAAGAAGGTTGCGTAGACCACGTAGCAGTATTAGTAGAGATCCGGATTAGAAAATTTTCATCTTATCGACCAACTATCAAAAATGGGATTGCAATATCAATGATTTTCTATCAGTTTCTCACTAAAACTTCGAGGTATTAAATCTTGAAGCGTGTTATCATTAAGCACTTAGTTGTCATTTATTTAGTTGAATGATCCCCGGCTCAGCTGTCTTAAGGTTAAGCGTTCGTATTCAACAACGTAGGTCCTTATTTGACTCTTGGATCCAGGGTTGTAGATATACACCTCTGATGAATACCATACTAAGACAAAACGGTCATTCATTACTCTCAGTTTTTCAATAGTGGTCTAGCTAAGATCTGTTGGTTATCTAAATTATTAAGATTCTACAACCTCCACAAATTCCTCTATACCAAAGAAATACTTTTTAAAAATAAGGCCAATAGTTTACAGGAAGTTTAGAATATAGTTAGATAATAGGTGATTTTCATTCGATTTCAGTATATATCTGAGAACTGACAGCTAGTTATATTTGAATTCATGGGTTGATGTAAGCTAGATCACCATTGAAAACCTGGAGGCACTGAATGACCGTTTCGTCCTAGTATGGGACTCCTCAGCAGTGCACATCCACGATCCCTCGTGCGGGACTCAGACCAAGGACCTACGGTCTGACGTGTGAACACTTAACCTCTAGACCATTGAGCCGGGATCGAACAGTGTTATTGTCTAACTTTACTCGATACACAAACTCCCATTCTAAGCTAATTATATGTCAGATTTATCTCGGTCATTCTGTGCAGCTGGTGAATATGCTATAAGGAAATAAATGAACAAATTTTTTCGTTACAGCAACTATCTTGTTCTCTTAAATTTCTGAAAAGATTTACTTGCCGATTTTCGACTATTTTATAATGTGTAAAATTTAAAAATAATTCAAACTTAGCACTTTTTGAACTAATGCCAAAGTTGTACATAGTGTAAATTTACATGAATGAACAGACATACAGTAGGCTAGGGCCAAAAATATCACCATTTATCTTTCAATTTAAAAAGAAATGCAATGAGTGTATACCTTATTTTTGATATGGTTCTCACATGTTCTTGGACAACAGAAGATGAAAAAGGGATATTTATCATATTTTTTGTGTCTTAAGTTTGTTTATTTCCAGGGTAATCAGTCTTGGATGAAGAATAGCCATAGTGTTGTTAATTATAAGTAGTATCAGTAGTCAGATTAATATTTCACTCCAAATCATTGACATTACATCGTGCTCTAATTCAAATTATGTTGAACTTCTTGTAAATAGTGATTACTAGGTGATGAAATATAGCAGTCATATGAAAGACTTTACGTAATGTCTTGAGTGTGTAAATATTGCATATCAGCAAATTCAAGAATCTTTCCAAATCTAATTATACGCCACACAAAACTGAACAGTATACTGTATAAAAACTAATCATCACTTATTTTTCATTGATCTAACAGCTGGACACAATATTCACTACTGATTAAAAGTTCACTATGGTTAGGACATTTCTGGATTATTCAGAATTCTATAATTCTATTTTTAAGACATCTTTGTTAATACCTCCACTTTAATTAACCTGCATAAATCAGCGCTACTTTTTAATCTTAATGATAAATAATTTTAAATAGTTTTCATATTCTAGTAGCCTATTTATGATGACCATAACTTTTGGTAATAATTGTGAGTTAATAGATATAAATATTGGTTTACAAGATTACTATGAATGTAATGGGTGGTATATTCCATGAATTAATTGGGTTTAGTGCACTCATCCTCTCTATCTTATTATTCTTCGGTTCGAATTGTAGGCTACGATTGCCAGTAGTTATCGAATAACTAGATTACACATACTTTATTCGTTTTTTGTGGTGTTTGTAAAGGGTCAAAATTTTCAGGTTAAGTTATTGATATATGACGATTTGAATGATATAGTTTGATGAGGTAAAATGATGGCATATATTGACTATTTGTGTCAATATATTTCCAATGCCCAATTATCATTGGGTCGAATTTTTTCATAATCATTCTGTTTGGCAATAAATGCTGACGTAGAGGAATATTCAAATGAACATGTTAGCACTTTACTGGATTGTGCTGAATTTCTTGATTATAAAGAAATTTTTGATGTATTATTTGATGTCAAATATTCACTGTCAAAGTCATATATTTCTGGTAGCTTTTTAGTTAATGTCATGGAATTCTCAACTTCTTGTTTTATTCTAGTAAGAAGTGCTTTATCCATAGAGTAGTTATTGGAACATGAGAATAATTGTCTTGGTGGAGGACTGACTTCTGAATACACTGACATCTTGAACTTACAAGATGAAAGTAAATTACTGAGTGTCATATCTATATTTAATAATTTAAATCAAAAGGTAGAACTACGTCACCGGGTCAGGAAATATGTCAACCCCTGACCAATCAAAATGGAGTAAATTAATTTATGATAAAAAAGTGCTCTTGTTTTATTGGTCACATAGATCAATATATTTGTTTAGATTTTCTTGGTGAGACTTTTTTTTTAGCTGTAGCCGGGGGTGAAAATATTCCCCCCACCACCTCAAAAATGCTGTAGACTAAAACGAAATTCCAATTTTATCTTTTATAATATTTTAATAATTTTAATAGCGTTCACTGTCAAACTTTGGGTGACTTCAGTTTGGTCCTGAATTAATTGATTCATTCATAGTGACAATTATCAGGGATTACTAGACTCTATGTCTTCTTCAGAATTAAATGTTAGTCGAAAATGAGTAAGAAACTGGCGAGCTTTAGATATCTTCATTAAGAGTCTCATTAGTGATAGAATTACATGAAATTAGCATAGGAAGTAAAACTACAATTTGGATTGTAATCTCACGGGAATTATCAACACTAATATAACATAGACGGGTGCAAACTGGCAAACAACTTTAGTCCCAGACTTTTTTTTAAATAACTCAAGTCACCTAACACCAAATGATGGTGTATAGTATAGCATAACATCATACAGATAATTGTTAACCAGTATGAAAATTAAGTACAGGCCTTTATACTGGATTGCTTATCTTCACCAAATATTGGTAAAAATATCATCACCTGTAAGTTTCTAGTAATAAAATTGTGTCCTATAAAAAAATCACTTCAAGAATCTCAATTCAGACCACGTTTGTTAATCGATGTATTCTATGGATGTTATGAGAATAGCTTGTTTAAATGTCTATATATTACCACAGAAATTAGAACTTTAAAAGTCAGTTAACATAAAAACACGTAATATTTTTACTTTATTTAAGGACTGACAATTTTATCACAATCTATTTGACATTATTAATTACTGGATAGTTTTATGAGAGGAGAATTATGATGAAATGATATAGAGATATTTTTTTCGAGTGGTTTATGTTTTATTTACAGATTATGGAACATGTGGATTTAATTAACAAAAAATCCTGTCGCAACACATTGTATTTACCTGTCCTTCTCTTACATTTCACGATCACTCATATTCAATAACTTTTTTCCAACCACATGTAGTTTATTTAAGTCTCAGACAACATATTGAAAACGTGATGATCGTCTACTTCATTGTTTCGGTCAACAAAATAGTGTACAAATAATATTGTTCAATTCATTCGTTTTGAAAGAAAGAATAAAAATAATCTGGAATAAATTTAGAAACTTTTTACACGTGTATAAAGGTACAATTGTTATATAAACAGATCTATCGACCTGTTTTACAATCAAACAGAGACGATTTCCATTTTTTGTAGAACAGTTTCACGATATTGTATTATTTCCTGAAAAATGTTTATTTAAACATTGTAATAAAGTTGTCCTTGCATTCAATAAAACTGTATGATAATGAATGTACTAGTTTAAATGTAAATATGTAACAAAGCATAATTTATTTAGATTCAATATGGTTTGCTCAAGTATCATTCTCATTCACATATAAATTTAATATAATGTGATATAAAGGAAAGTAAATGTTTCATCAGTATAGAAGAAACATTTTAATGAGGTAAAACGAGAACAAACAATGATAAAATGTCAGTGAATTTTTGCAGATTTTGTACAGTTTTCAAGTAATTTTCAATATTTCCATCAATAATGGTTTTAGGTTCATTAATGTCCACCTTCGAAACGGACTTTTTAAAGTCGTTACTGTTAGAGTCAACCAGCTTACAAATAAGACCGAAAGCAAATAATAACAGTATGCGCAAACCATGTCAAGTCACTACTTTACTGAATTTGAAAGTGTAAGTTACTGGATTCCTACCCTGAATACATCTGAATGTAACGTGCATGCAGTAAATTATACAAAATTTGAAATATATCAACAATATAGGACAGTATATGAAACTTGTTTGTTTTTGATGGAGTTTTGTTCTCTGAGCTTCTGAACTTCTACCCGAAGTTTGTGCTGATGATGTCGTTCAGAAAGACGATGAAAGCTCCACAACCAAACCATTCAGCTCAGAGAACAAAACTCCATCAAAATCATCCACCTGAGCTACAAATCTTCTCCAACATCCCAAAACTTGTTTGTTTATGTATTCGGACGATATCGAAGACTGAGGTGAGGAAACCTAAAGGATTTATTAAAACCAAGCAAATTAAAGTTGACCTTTGGATAGTCTATACTGAAGGGTGATATTAATAGAAAAAAATCAGTAAAATGAGCTATCAGCTTCTTTCAAATACGTCAATTAATTTACTTTAGTATTCATTTATATTGATTGTTTGAATATTTCGATTAATGTGATGGACTGTAGTTGATCAGTCTCTTTTGGCATATGCCCATTATTTAGTTTATTTTATGAAAATGTGACCACCGAATATCGCATGTAAATCAACTTATTTTATCACCTCTACTGGTTCACGATCATTTAAACATGTTATGAAGTGTTTGCGATTGATAAAAAATATCAACTTTCGTAATTAATTAACTCTTAAAATCGGATTTATAGAGCGGGGTGATAAGTTTCTGTTTCCATTAGAATACTTTGATCGTTTTTTGGCTTTTACATTCGGTACGTCATAAATTTCTCATTACTTTATAATTAAACTTCTTAATTGAAGTGAAGATTATGTCACTCGAAATAGTCACTTACGTAGTTTAAGCAGGTGATAATATGATGATATTAGTTATCTGTATAGGTTAGCAAAGCACCATACATTATTTATTAAGTCGAAGAAAATATTCATCATGATCTGACATTATCTAAGAAATCGTCGAAAATCAGGAAGGACCGAACAAATGTTACACTCTATTTCGGGGCACCTAGTAATTCACATTTACGACTCGGTAGGATTAAAAAAAATTTCAAATCTAGTGTCGAATATCGTATTTTTAGACCACTTAGTCAGGATCCGATAGTTTACATTTTCTCGTTTAACTCAACTCTCAATAAAACTTGACTATCAACCAGTATCACACTCTCGTGTAAGCTAGGAGGGGAGAAGAGAAACAAAGGGAAGACTTTTTTATCGTACTGAAGAAGCAAAAGAAGAAAAGCAGATTAACATAGAAATTATCTTAAAAGTCAACAATCTTTTTCTATTATTATTGCTATCCAAAGTAAAAAGATGAAAAAATAGGGTCATGAGAATTCTTCTGTGGCTGTCGGCGAGAACAAAGTTCATTGTTTTTTACTTGCTTTACTGAGATGAGATGTATAATCTAAGAGGGATAAGTAAAAGATGTCAACTTATGCCACTTATTTATTTAAATTTATTGGATGAGCATACTACTTTAATGGAGTGAGGAAGTTGAGTCTTAAACAATAATTAGGGATGAAAATGTAAACTGTTGGATTCCAAATCAATAGTCTGAAGGATAAACACTCTCCTCGAAGCCTGCACGTCACGGGTTCAAGCTCTGGAGAGGTCATGTATGGGTATTGTTGAGGAATCCCACACTAGTACTAGATAGTTGTACGACGCCTCTAGGTTTCATTAGTTGTCCAATTAAAATCAGTTCATAATGTAAGGTTTTAAACGATGAACAATATTAGAAAGGAATAATTGGAAAATATGGTATTATGTGCGTGCGTGTGTGTATATGTGGAGATATAGAGAAAGAAACTTTAGAGGGAAATTCAATCGTTATGATATATATAATTATCTTCATTGATTAATCAAATTATAAATGACTATCTGTAACACAAATAGTAGTTATAAAAACGTTGTAGGTATATAAAGTTGATAATTTAAACAAGTGCCTATGTAGTATTTTTAAATTAATACTTACTTCTTTGCAGTTAACGAATGCATATTGAAGCATAAATTTTAGACAGACAGAGGAAGGTACCTAACAGCTTTCAAGTTTATGAACATTATAAAGTGCTTAGATATAATTAGCTGACAGAATGATGATAAATTCTGTTGGGTATAAGTACGGTTCTTATAGCTTGTCAACACTGACCAATTTTAGATGTAAAAACTAAAAGTAAAGATCTTAAGTAAAGATCAGTAGTTTGTATGACAAATTGAATGATTTGAATGTTTAAGTTAATGGTTACTGTAAAGTGTCATACGCTTATAAATATTTCGATTGACATCATGGATCTGTCGATGTTAGAACACCGTTGAAAACTTGAAAGCACTGAACGTCTATTTCGTCCTAGTATAGAATTCCTCATCAATGCACATCGATAAACCCGCACGCGGTATTCCAAGCCAAGACCTTCGGTTTCGCGCGAACGCTAGGACGAAACGATCGTCTAGTGTTTCCCGGTTTTCAATGGTTTAACATCGATCGATTCATGATTTCAATCAAAAACTTAACAATCTTCACAACTCCATACTGACGCTTATAAATATGTTGATATTGTGATGTCTCTTATCGCTAGATTTAGGCCATTTACAAAATGAGTCTTTCCGAACAGACGTCAAACAAGATTGTAACATAGATAATGTTATTGGTGCTTCATTGGATTATTGGTCAATGCTGATGTGTTTCTATCGTATACACCAAAGGCATTCTTTCACACACATTCAGAAATAAATGTGGAGTAGATTATAGAATCATTAAATAGCACCTAATGGTTTCAAAGAATTTATTTATATGAAGCCAATAAGAATGAGAACTTGTACGGAGCCTGATTTTACATTGGGTAGAGGGATACATACACAATATGGATGGATTTTTTATTAAGAATATGACTTCATTCATTTCTCCAATAAAACACACATGCAAAAGCATGTTTTTTACCGGTTGTTTATCGTCAAGGAAATGCCCAAAGACGGTAAAAAAAATTTATAATTTTACTGTACATTGTTGAAAGATATATGGATAATATCATGCTAAGGTAGTTTTGTTGA